GACGTCACGTTCTGGGCGGTAACCCGGATGAGCGGCCATTATGGAGTCACTCGGATGTAAACAACAGCATGGATTGCACTGTTTATGTACTACTGAATACATTGTTACACTAAAAAAAAAACACAGAAAAAAACTGTGGTAGGTGCGAAATCATAGAGAAGGACTTAGTAAGCCATCAATGTCGTGTGCTTGTGATTGATTCTGCAAGAGTGATAGCGGGGCCTTGATTTCGCGGCTTTACTTCCTGCTCGACTGCGCATGTCTGGTCCCGAAAAGTGCGCAGACTCAAGTTCCAAGATGTCAGCGCCATATCGGGACACTGGCGGCTTCAGTTCTCGCTGATGGAAAACTGTGAAGGGGCTACTGTTTTACAGTCTATGGTAAAACCTCATAAAAGCTCAGCGTTCACTTTGGTATTTCAACACCGAACCTGACGGAATAGGTACGTTCACAATCTGATTGGTCGGCTTTTATTACGTATATTTCGTGGCCTACCGAACATCCAAAACACAAAGCTGTGTGCTGTTGATAAACGCGCTCGTTGTGTGTGCGTAGCCTATATATGATGGTATTTTGACCAGCTGAGAACTCTTTATATATAAGTTAAAGAAGATTTATATACGTGTGAAGAGTCAAAACAGCGGCAGGAATCCCTCCGTCGTCACACACACACACACACACACACACACACACGAAGACGCGGTTCTGATGTCTGTACCGAACTGTGATGGGCAACATCATGACTGGTTCGCACCTTGTCACATTATGTCCTGTTTTTGGTTTGTTTACTTGTCTTTGGTCTGTGTTGCGTTCTTTGGCGTCTCGGTCCGCTTGTTTGGTGGCACCAGGGTTCAGATATCAGCTTTCACACTTATTCAAATAAACCGCACTAACAGAGAAATCGCATCAGGTTCGTTTTAAACCAACCTAACATGACAAGTGTGAACACACCCTAGGACAATTCGCGTTGAAATGTCTCAATATCACCTTTTTTACAGTGTGTACTTGTGTGTTTGCTACTAGCAGTGAGTGTGAGTTTGACTAAACGCTGTTCTGTCACGCTGACTCTGAGGGCGTAAGAGGGAGGGAAGGAGAGAGAAGGTGTGAATGTGGTGATAAAGGACAGTATTCTTCTACTTGTGTGTCGGGTCTCAGCAGAGAGTTCAGTGGTTAAAGCAGACCAGCTTGACCATGTCAACACACTCATTCTCTCCTTTATCCTCTGCTTGCTTGCTTTCTTCTCTCCGGGTCCACCTGTTTTTTCCCTTCCTCATTGTTCGTCTCTGTTTACTCTGTCTTTTCCTCTCGGTTTCGTAAGATGTTTTATCTTTCATTCAACCCTTTCATTCTCTCCTCTGATCCGCAACACCTCTCTCTCTCTCTCTGTCTGTCTATTCTTCAAATCAAGTCTACTGTGACGGTGTCTACGATAAACTGACAAATATCTACCTATGCAAAAAAATTCTTTTGCATCTGGCGGATGTTTTGGTACTTTTGTTCATTGTTTTTTTCCCAGTGTGTGTATGTATTGTGTACCTAAAAAATAAAAAACCTAGCAACCTTAAACAAACACAAACTTAGTCTGTGTTTTGTTATGGGTTGTAGGACGTAAAATAAATTAACTTAAACTAAATCGACAGCATTTGTGTTACCGGAAAACATTTAAATTGCAGCTGCACTTACAGTGAACATTAAAACACACCGTTTCGAAAGGATAATGTTTATACGTGGACTGACAGGACAACTATCATATTTCTCTGGCAAAACCAGGAAGCTTTTTAGCGCTAATGCAACCTAATGAAGTGCAGAGGCGGCACATTACGTGTGTAACTGATGCTTTATCTGTGTGTTTTAACGTTATAGTTTTGCTGCAGAGAATCATTAGAAATGTAGTTTGATTTGACAAGTGTCTCCTCATAAACCAGCTGAATGGATTTAGCCCATAAAATGTATAGAAATGCATATATTTTTCTGCCAACAATTGATGGTAATTAATGATTGTGATCAATTGTAATTTGCGATTCTTTAAAGCGACACTATTAAAGCCTGAGCTTTAAAGAAAGCCTAAGTTTCCCACTAGTAATTTTTAATTGATGTTTATATCAACTAGAAAATTAAATGTACCGTAAAGGGCCGTTTACAACAAATTGAAAGGAAACGCACACAAATTATATTGCTAATGCATAACCAGGATTTAAATGAGTACATTTAAGTCAATGTTTTACTAAGTAATTATTGTAAGTGAATGCAACCCTCAAATTTTTGTCTTTAAAACTCTCTGAATCGCTGGCCTGGTTTACTCTCAGTACACTACAGTTCAAAAGTTTGGGGTCAGGAAAATTTTTACTTTATTTTTTGAAAGAAATTAATACTTATATTCAGTAAAGCTGCATTGAGTTGATTAGAAATGACTGTAAATACATTTATAATGTTCGTAAATGGTTCTTTGAACTTGGCTCCTCAAGTCAAAATTACGTTTTCCATACAAATATGAAGCGGCACAACTGTTTTACGACATTGAGAATAACAAGAAATGTTTCTTGAGCATCAAATCCTCATATTAGAGTGATTTCTGAACGATGTGACACTGAAGACTGGAGTAATGATGCAAATAAATGTAAATAAATCACATTTTAACATGTATTCAAATAGAGAACAGTTATTTTAAATCGTAATCAAATAAATGAAGCCTGGGTGAGAATTTCCGAAACATTAACAAAATCTTACAAAACTCAAAGTTTTGACCTTTTGTGTAATTAGTTACTAGTGTCGATACAACAACAGACAGACAAAGCCTACTATTTTCTGTGCCACAAATACTAAAGTTGTGTTGAACTCAAGAACATTCCTTTTAAAGTCACGTGTGTGTGTGTGTGTGCTTGTGCGTGTGTGTGTGGCTATCGGTCAGTCTAATTGTAGTATGTGAAGTGTGTGTTGAGTGTCTGCTCTCTCCACTGTAAGAGCTACTGATAACCTTCCTAACCTGTGTGACAAGGACAGGAAACTCTTCTCCCGTAGGAATGCCACACACACACACACAAATCTATTTTCACCATTTAAAAGAAAGAGTGACTAGCTTTAATAAACATGCCCTGGGTTAGCATGCTATGCTAATGTATGGTGATTTGTAAATGGATCCACCCGTCATTACGCAAAAGTATCTTCGCATTTCTTTTCACATGTAAACACGAAGCCTATAAAAAAAAAAGTCCAACTGCCCTAATTTGTTTACATGCAAATAGCCGTTGGTGTGGCTGACTGTTCAGAGATGATGATAAAATGCTAATTAGCGTCTGTGAAGTCGTTTTGTCCTCATAGAAGGAATTCAAAGGAAACTCCCTGAGATTCTGCAACAGCCAAATTCTCCTGGAAATGGGAAGCGTTAGACGAGTCCTTTGATCTGACACGCTCTCCTTTGGAAACAAGCGTCTCGGGGTGGGATTTGGATCAAGAATAGCCAGTTCATTCTCATTAGAGTCACTTGTTGAACATACAATAACCGAATATCACACTTCTGGAAATTGAGAAAGCGCCTTCAGATGGTTTACACAGCGGAAGAAGGCATTAGGGCTTTGAATAAACAGGAAGAGAGACGAGCAGGGATGAATGAAGTGTAAAAGAAGAGGATGGGTTTGTACTTGTAGAGAAGGTGATTTATTGTTGTAGTGTGGTTGCAAACCCTCACACACATCCATGAGGAGTGTGTGCTTCTGTCAGTGCATGTACCGGAGAGAATTTAAAATCTTTATTTCGAACATATAAAAATGTTTGCCTTATTTGACGGTTCTTTCAACATTAACTGAGACTGAAGTTGCATCTGTTCATTTTATTTAATAGACCTGAGCTGACTTGAACTAACAATAAACAGCTGTTTTTTATTACCTAACATTAACAAAGATTTATAAATACTGTAACAGATGTGTTAGTTAATGCATTAACTACACATTATTGTAAAGTGTTACTATTAGGGCTGTGAAACGATTAATCGGATCCAAAATAAAAGTTTGTGTTTACATAATATATGTGTGTGTAGTGTGTATATATTTAAGAAAATATAATAAAATAAAAAAAAAATAAAAAAAATACATGTATATATTTAAGAAAAATGTGTTATTAATATATCAAATATTTATATTTATGTATAATATTAATTTTGTATACCTATATATAAAGTATTTACATGCAAATATTTCTTAAATATAGACCTGCATGCATGTGTATTTATATATACAAAATAATCATACACACTACACGCATATATTATGTAAACGCAAACTTTTATTTTGGATGCGATTAATCGTTTCACAGCCCTAGTTACTATAAAAATGTATACATTTTATATATTCAGTTATTTTGTTTATTTATATGATTTACAGGTGTCTTTTATTAACATTTTGCTAAAAAATAATTAAGTTTCTTAAAAACAACAACATTGTATCATTTTATAATTTACATCACACCATGATCCATCTTTGAATTGTTGTTTAAGACTATTTTCATTGTATTTAATGTTTAATTTTGTATTATTATAATTAAATAGTGTAACACTTTTTTTAAGGTGACGTAGCTACACGTTACTACATGTACTTACAAAAACAGTACATTATGCATAACTACAAGCAACAAACCCTAATCAAACCCCATCTCTAGCAAGTACATGTAGTTAATAAATATAACTTGGTACTTAAAGGAGGAAGCCACTTTTAAATAAAGTATAACCTTAATTATTCATTATTTGTTTGTTGTTAGCCATGCCACATTTTGGTAACACTTTATTTTAATGTGACCTTGCATGCATTTACTATTGCTAGATATTATGCACAATTACAACCAGCCCTAAATCCTACCCTAACCCTATAGTAAGTACATGTAGTTAATTAATATTACTCATTAGGCTACTTAAATGTATAATTACACCGTAACAGGGACATTAGATTAAAGTGTAACCCATATTTTAAGGATATGCATCTAATGAGATCTCTCTCTTTCCCTCTCTGCAGGTTCAGTGATGATAAGGGTTACGTCCTGTACCCTCAGATCGGGGATCGCCTGGACCTCATTTGCCCCGGGTCTGAGCCGCCCGGCCCCCGCGCCCCCGCCGAATACGAGTTCTATAAACTGTACCTGGTGTCGTCCCGGGACCAGGCAGACAGGTGTGAAGTGACCGGAGCCCCAAACCTGCTCCTCACCTGCGACAAGCCCAACAGTGACATGCGTTTCACCATCAAGTTTCAGGAGTACTCCCCCAACCTGTGGGGCCACGAATTCAAAACCAATCATGACTACTTCATCATCGGTGAGTGAGCGCATGCTAGTTAGTTAGAGATTTTTAGGGCTCTATTTTAACGACCTGAAACGCAAGTGATTTGGGTGCTGTTGCTATTATACCGGCGGGATGAATGACGCAAGTTTAAAAGGGGTTGGTCTGACCAGAGATGTATAAAGTACTAAACCCGGACTTGAGTAAAAGTACAAGTGCTCTTTAAGCACCACACTTAAGTAGAAGTACTAAAGTATTCAACATTTTTTGTACTTAAGTATTGCAAGTAGTTTATTTTAAAATTCACTACTTAAGTACTAAAAGTAAAAGTACAAGTATTGTGTCATGTAATTATTAAAGAAAGCAGTCAAAAGTTTGAACTAGCAATCAAATAAGGCGCTTTGGTGGGATACAAATTTGCTTTGGCGGCCGCCAAAAAATGTCATTGCAGGACGACCCCTGCATTAGTTGTCAATGTGTGTGTCAATCAATACCATTACCCTATACAACTGGCGTGTGATTTAGGCAGCACGAAAGCCAACTTGCAACGAATGATTCGTAAATTTTTTATAATTGTAACGAGTAACTAGCAGAAAATTTAAAAAAATATCGAAGTAAAAGTATTAAAGGGTTAGTTCACCCAAAAATGAAAATTAAGTCATTATTTACTCACCCCCATGCTGTACCAACCCCGTAAGACCTTCGTTCATCTTCGGAACACAAATAAAGATATTTTTGATTGAATTTGAGAGCTGGATCAGTCCTAGATAGACTGCCTAAGGGACTGGCTCTTGACGGCCCATAAAGTCATTAAAGAAAAGGTTTAAATATTCCACGTGCCTACAGCGGCTCAATTATAAGTTTATCAAGTGACGAGACTACTTTTTGTGCGAAAAAAAACATAAATAACGACTTTATTCGAGTATTCCATTACTTCCCTATGGGCGCATGCGCGAGAACTAAGACGAGGACGTTCTCCTCGGTTCTCCTCATAAGACATATACACTAGACCTCACCTTGGATACTGCAGTTCATTGGAACAAATGCGTCAATAGAGCCGCCATCTTGAAACAGGGGAGCCCCTCCACTTTAATGCATCAGCGTCAATGTAGTAGACAGGTCTAACGCAAATAAAATCACCATAAATCATCATGAATGCGATTTTTTTTTTTTTTGGTTTGTTCCAACGGTCAGACATGTATTTATCATTGATTCCAGAAAGAAGAATTTTTTTTTTATTTTTTTAAAATTTTTTTAAACATTCTTCCCAGTTCAGATTTCATCCGTGAACTTCATACGCTGCACAAAAGTCCGCCACCATCAATGAATTCGAAGTAAAGGCAGAGATAGCAGCGTTACCAAGCTACTTTTCTATGACAAGACCCCTGTTCCAAGATGGCGGCGGTTTTGACACATGCTTAGAACCCCCAGGTGAGGTCTAGTGTATATGTCTATGGGTTCTCCTTTGACTACTTCTTTTTACCGGCTGCTCACCGCTTAGGAGTATTACTGCCACCTACCGTATAAGATGATGATAAGGCACACTGTCGTTTTTTGAGAAGATTAAAGGCTTTTAAGTGCACCTTATAGTGCGGAAAATACGCAAATTGAAAAGCGTATGTACAGCGCTCATCTTTCTCTGCTTGTAAACAGAAAGTTTTGTGCTTCCAGCTATATCAGCACATCATCTTATACGGTAGGGGGCGGTAAAACTCCTAAGCGGTGAGCAGCCGGTAACAAGAAGTAGACGAATGAGAACGTCCTCGTCTCAGTTCTCGCGCATGCGCCCATAAGGAAGTAATGGAATAGTGGAATAAAGCCGTTTTTTATGTTTTTTTCGCACAAAAAGTAGTCTCGTCACTTGATAAACCTATAATTGAGCCGCTGTAGGCACATGGAATATTTAAACCTTTTCTTTAATGACTTTATGGGCCGTCAAGAGCCAGTCCCTTAGGAGCCAATGTGGTAGTTATACAGCTCTCAAATTTAATCAAAAATATCTTCATTTGTGTTCCGAAGACGAACGAAGGTCTTACGGGGTTGGTACAGCATGGGGGTGAGTAATTAATGACTTAATTTTCATTTTTGGGTGAACTAACCCTTTAAATTCATCGAAAATACACTCTCAGAAAAAAAGGTACGAAAGCTGTCACTGGGGCGGTACCTTTTCAAAAGGTACACTTTTGTACCTAAAGGGTGCATATTGGTCCCTTCATGGTACATATTTGTACAATTATGTTTTTAAAAAGCGAAATGCAGATGGAGGGCAGGAAGTGATTTTCTATATTTGGAAGCACTATAACACACTCAAAATGCCTATGTTTTGCGTCGTTTATGGTTGCTCAAATCAATCAAACCACAAGGAGTTTTTATCGTGTGACAAAAGTTGTTGTTCATAAGGGGGGAAAAAACAAGAAATTGACCGAAAAACACCGGGAAAAATGCCTTGCAAACCTACGTCTGAAGTCGGGAAGAGCCGAATGGGAAAATGCCTGTGTGTGTGTGTGTGCAGTGATCACTTCGTCAAATGTGAGTTAATACATTATTTATGTGGCTTATAATTACATTATTCAGGTGTTTAAATACACTTATGTGGCTTTTTGTGTAACATACCAGTTTCCGAACTTTGTAAAGTCAAAGTATGTCTGTAAGACGAGTTAGCTGCTGATATCTACAGCCTCGATGGCTGGCAAATCTCTTAATTCAGTTGAAAATCGGTCCTCTTCATAACGTAAGGATCACGTCCAACATATGTTTCGATTTTCTGTTGATATATTTCTCTTGTAATAGCGTCTAAAGTAGTACAGTACAGATTTTCCTCCATCTCGTCCATTGCGCTCTTCACTCCTTGCCCTCCATCTGCATTCCGCGCGTCAACACAATCACGTGACTGCAAACCACCTATTGCGCTGGGTGCAAGATAGGGCCCAAAGTGTTTTCAATCAGTGTTAGAATAGATGGCTTGATGGCATTTCATCACAGTGTTTATTTTGGTTTGTTTTTAGTTCAGGCCTAGTGGGTTTTCAATGAAGTCACAATATTCTGCTGGGATTCGGCTGATTGGGAGTTTATCGAATGGAAGGATCTCGCTTCGGGTCGTGTTACTGGGGGTTGTTTTTAAAACAGTGCACAGTAGCGTTGAGGGAACGAGGCCGAGCAAACGGAAGCCCGGCGATATCAACATTTCAGAAAGCAGATTTGACACTGGAAAATGTGTTGCCCCAACACGCTCAGACCCAAAACACGCAATGGCCATGTTTTAAAAATCTATTCTTCCCACAGTCATGGAAAACCTGAAAGGAATTTTAAAACTATTTTCCAGTCTGGCAAAGTCATGTCAAGTCACCCGTATTTATATAGCTAGAGATTCTTTCAAAGCAGCTTTACAGTGATAACAGGACAATTGTGCATTTCAAGTCAGTTCAGTGTTTCCATTGTAAACATCATCAATTATTAAATTAGTTCATTACATCTATAAAGCATGGGAGTCTGATTCAAAAAGTTATTTAAGTTTGTGTTCCCAAATCCCTGATTGTAACACTCAAATCTCAGGAGTTTTTGACACATTTGTACACTGAAACTGCATTTGCAACCAATTTTGATTCTATAACCTCATGTTATATCACTCCAAAATGGATATTCAGCTGGAATGAAATGTAGGACTGGGCTCAATTGTATCGTCCAGGAACTGATTGGATCATGAAATTGGATGTTAGTATGACCCTGGTGTTGTACGAATGAATCACTCACAGTAAAACCATGTGTACTGTGTACTATGTGTAAGTAAACAGTAATTTTTTTGGTAACGCTTCCTTTTACAGTCCAGTTACCCATGTAAATACTTTGTACTTATTTTAGTAGCTACAATTACTGGGTAATAACTAGTACTAACCCTGTTCCTTGTACTTACCTTATATTAGCCAGTACTTTCTAGGTAAGTACACTGTAAGTACTGTTCTGTAAAAGGAAGCGGTACCATTTTTTTTATACACATTACTGGAGTCAGTGATTCTTTTCTGTTCACAATATTGTGAATATATGTATGTTTTCATATATTTTAAAATGTAGTTTATTCCTACAGGTCCTTATTCCTATTAGAAAGATCAAATGACATTTATTTGACATCTTTTATAACATTATAAATGTCAATTTTGATCAATTTAAAGGTAACACTTTACATTCACATCTATTAGTTAAGGTTAGTTAATGCATTAACTAATGAGCAATGCATATGTTACACTTACACACTTATTCATCTTTGTTCACATTAATATATATATATATATAAAAATTAGGGCTGTGAAACGAATAGTCGTGATTAATCGAATCCAAAATAAAAGTTTTTGTTTACATAATATATGTGTGTGTGTATAATTATTTTGTATATACAAGTACTCACATATGCATGTATATATTTAAGAAAAATGTGTTATTAATATATCAAATATTTATATATAATATTAAATTCTGTATAAGTATATATAAAGTATATACATGCAAATATTTCTTAAATATATACATGCATGTGCGTGTTTTTATATCTAAAAAATAATTATACACACTACACACTCATATATTATATATTTTGGATGCGATTAATCGTTTCACAGCCCTAATAAAAATACAACTGTTCATTTTTAGTTCATGTCCATTAAATAGTATTAACAGATACAACTTTTTGATCTTAGTCATGTATTAGTAAATGTTGAGATTAACATTAACTGAGATTAATAAATGCTGTAGAAATTAAATAATGAAGTCAAATGAAACCATAGTGTAACCAATTTAATTGATCCTTACTGAATTAAAGTGATATTTTTCTTTAAAAGAAAAAAAAAATCTTACTGACCCCAAACTTTTGAATGGTAATCTATTTCTATTTAATCTAAATAAATATATTAATTCCAAGTACCCGATGAATAGAAATCTGTCCCTCCAATTTCTATAATATGATTTTTTTTTAATAATCATAAAAAGCAATGGAATTTGATTGGCTAAAAAGATGTGTGAGCACTTTATTCCCATAAAGAAAAATA